CAAAAGAAACATGGTCTTCACGATATCTTAACTACAATTCCCATCATCCATTTTCCCATAAGAAGTCTGTAATTATAAGTCTCGCTGATAAATCTATAAAACTAACAGATCCAGAATACAGACCAACTGCAATAAAAAAAGCAAAAAATGCCCTTCTAAAGAATGCATATCCCGAACATTTAATCGAAACTATTTTCAAATCAAGACTCAATAAATTTTATAACAATGCAACTAACAACAAACCCAACAGTATCAAAACCACTTATACAACTCTTCCATATATAAAAGGTTTATCCGAACAACTAACAAAATCTTTTAGCCAAACATAATATAACAGTAGCCCACAAAGGCAACAACCTCTTAAATAAATACTTCACAAAACTAAAAACACAAACTCCAAAACTTAAAAAATCACATGTTGTTTACGAGATACCATGTACAAACTGTGAAGGTGTCTATATCGGTCAAACCAGTCAACTGCTTCAATCCAGAATTCGTTCTCACAAATACGACAAGAACAACGTCACTGCGCTCACAAAACATGAAAGCGGGAAGAAGCATAAATTTGACTTTGAAAACATTAAAATTTTAAAAACAGAAAAAAACAAAAAGAAAAGGGAGATATACGAATCAATAGAAATAAAAAGAAACACCAACGCAATAAATGACAAAAAAGATATACAAAACCTAAATAAAATATATTTCAATCTGATTTAAACAAAAACAATATAACATCATAAAAAGCTCTTAAAGTCATAACATATCTCCACCTTACCTTTTTCAAAAACATCAACGATACGCCCATATAAAAATAATTATATACTAATGACAGTAAACAATGAGATATCAGATATCAACTTTTATATGTCAATTCGTTAATGTCTGTGTCACGTTTTACGTTTTGGTAAGTCATATATATATATATATATATATATATATATATATATATAATATATATATACATATTTTACAATATCTGTTTGTCCTTATATTTATACACATTTTTAGAATCTTGACAAAGGCAAGGGTTATCTGCCGAAAAGTTGATTAATTGCAATGGAAAATAAAATCTAGTTCCACATGTAACATATCTTTATTGAACCTAACCCAAGAAATATTAATTTTATATTATATATATATATATATATATATATATATATATATATATATATATATATATTGTTATGATATGTAAAATCAAGAAAATAACGGTTTGTTTAAAAATATTTCAAAGTTCAAATAATTAAAATAATTCAGATAAGTCGAATTAATAAACGACAAACATTTCGAAGAATGAAAGTCCTTTTATTTTGGATTACCTGTATTTAACAAAACGTAAGATATGCATAAATTATTTTCTTTGTTAAAATATATTTGTATGACGTGAATAAGCTGAAGTGAAATCCAAAGACAATTGAACCGGGTTTTCCGAATACATTAGTGCAGTGATTAGGACAATAGAATAGATTTTAGAAAGATAGGTTTTTGTTAGTTCTTAAGAATTGTAGAAAAATATTATTTGTAAATAAGTTTTAGGAAATTTTATAATTATAGGTAAAAATTTGTGTGTTATCGAAATGAAGAAATGGGAGATGTATGACGCGTTTTGATTGGATGAGATTGGAAAAGGTGGGAGGTTTGGTTTGAGAATGAGACGTTAGTTAGTTTTGGAAGAAAAATTTATAGTCAGTTGGTTTCCAAGGGTTCAAGGCGAACGGCCGTTGTTCTCGGGTAGTTTCCCAGAGGTAGGAAGCAGTAGCAGTGAAAGTTTGTGAGTTTTTGTGTAGTTAGTGTATCTGACAGAAGCTGATCAAGTAAAAGATTGTCAGTTATATTTTCTACTTATATTCCAAGAGTCACTGTTCAGGCCAACGAGAGATTCAGTTTATCGTAAAGAAAAGATATTCCAAGAGTCATTTTTCACTCAGGCCAACGAGAGATTCAGTTTATTGAGAGAAGAAGAAGCTAATATAATTTGAACGATTCGTGCATTTGAAGGAGATCATTAAGGACGATAAACTTGCAATAATTTGTTGTAAGATTGCTGATTACCTAGGGAGCGACTAAGAGTAGATAGTATAGACTACAAGGAACAAGGATTTGGACCACTCATCATCAAAGAGAGATAGTTTTGTTTTCTGCAGTTTTTTTTTTATTGATAACACAATTTTTACACTTATTTTAGAAAAGATATAAATATTTTGATTAGGAGATTTAGAATAATATTTGGTATTTTGAGATTTCAACTAATTTTGTTTGTACCATTAATTTTGAAGTTTCACGTACGTAGAACAAAATTTTGAGAATCATTATATGAGATTTTGTTTATTGAAAATTTTTGAGTGTGAATTTTATTTCATTATTTTATTTCAATATATAATGTTAGATCCTATATGTTTTTTATTCTTCCGGTATTCTTTGGACCTTACCTTTCACATGTAATAGCATAGATATTGAAGCACGAATAGAACCCTGAGATAAGAGAATTATAAAGTGTGATAGAATCATAGTCATATCATTTAAATAATTTTAATTAATTAATCACTTAATTAGCTAATTAATTTTTTGGCGCACTAAGACTTTAAATATCACAATAATATATATATATATATATATATATATATATATATATATCGGAAAAAGGAGTACGACCGTCAATCCAATATATGTATATATATATATATAAATATATATATATATATATATATATATATTATATATATATATATATATATATATATATATATATATATATATATATAAGGATCACTCAGACGAGTGGTGGGTTCTTATATCGGTCTCAAGGTGGAGAAATAAAAGACAAAGTTGATAGGCTACTTTATCTATTTTGAAGACGTTTCGCTCTCGAGTTTTGAAAGCAGCATCAGTTCATCTAAAAAGTACAATATGAGAACCACACAATCATGGAAACGATGTTAATTGTTACCTTAAAAAGACATGTAGCAGTCAAAGTTATTTACAATAATGTGAATGAAACCTAAGTAAATGGACATAATACGCTGCTATTGTATAAACAATCAAGTAACTAACAACATATAGGAACTTATAAAAAAAATTAGCACAGCAAATGACCATGTGGTCTAAAGTAAATGAAATATTATTTAATATTAATTAATGAAAAAGAACCAAGAAAATCATAGACAACTTCCAACTATAAGCTTTGATTTTAACTTTAGGTAGCATTATAACTTACTTATATCAACTTACATTGCATTTTCATACACTGATTACTTAGATTAGTGTGAACATTTTTTACTTAAATAACATAATACAAATATTGTAATTGATTCATAGAATCCTTTGCAAACTACAGTTCCAAGTGTATGAACCTTGGGCTGTTGGAAATTAATTTATCGTTAACCACCTGTGGCTGATTATCTAGCCATAATGATTAACGTTATTACTTATATATGAGGTTGAATGAAAATCTCCTGTTTGTAAGTCTAGACTGATTAATGGGAGGAGTTGCTATTACAATACCAATTTCTTTCACTGGTTTGTCTTTTGCAACCGGGTAGCCATCCAAACTCATTAAAACTTTTAAATTGACCGCCCAATTATTTGGGTTGGTACCTCCACCTTGCTGATCTGTCAAAAGTATTTTGACCTCAAGGTTGGCTGTCTTTTTGCGGTTTAGTTCGTTCTGGTTCATCTAACGCCATTTTTCCGGCGACAGCTGTAGGGCTTTGATCGGTAACTTCATTTACACTACTTTTTAAATAATTTTTTTTTATTAATATCACTTATAATGCTACCTAAAGTTAAAATCAAAGCTTAATAATCATTAAATAGTTGGAAGTTGTCTATGATTTTCTTGGTTCTTTTTCACTAATTAATATTAAATAATATTTCATTTACTTTAGACCACATGGTCATTTGCTGTGCTAATTTTTTTTATAAGTTTCTATATGTTGTTAGTTACTTGATTGTTTATACAATATCAGCGTATTATGTCCATTTACTTAAGTTTCATTCACATTATTGTAAATAACTTTGACTGCTACATGTCTTTTTAAGGTAACAATTAACATCGTTTCCATGATTGTGTGGTTCTCATATTGTACTTTTTAGATGATGCTTTCAAAACTCGAAAGCGAAACGTCTTCAAAATAGATAAAGTAGCCTATCAACTTTGTCTTTTATTTCTGACCGATATAAGAACTCACCACTCGTCTGAGTAATCCTTATATATATATATATATATATATATATATATATATATATATACATATATATATATATATATATATACATATATATATATATATATATATATATATATATATATATATTCTTTGAAAGGGCTTTAGTGACTATGTGAGTAATATATACGGATATCTTGGGTTTAGTAGTCAATATTGGCCTTTAAGTAAAACTCTTTTAGGTTTGTTAAGCTTTCGAGTTTATTGTACTCTTTTTCAAAACGTACTAAAAATTAACATAAAAAAAACTACATTAGAAAAATGAAGTTGTTATATCTTCAATAGGCTTACCCTTGTGAGGATTGTGTTTTAAAATTAGCAAAATTAATTACCATAATGACATTATTAAATTTGATTTTCTTTTTCGTTCTGTCACAACTTATTACTAAGGTTTACATGTCTATTCTATTTTTTATATTTATTTTAGGTTAGTTTGACAGAGGAAGTGTCTATGTTTATGCAAACCTTCATTGCAAATTTTGATATAATAGGTAGAAATGTTTCGTTTGCAGTTATTAAACAAGCAACAGAGTTTATGTTACTAAGTAATTAAGAAAAAAAAACACAAATAAAAATAAATTTTATCTCATTTGAACTTGGAATAATCCCTTTAATATGACTAACTTTTAAGAACTTTTATATTGTTATTCTTTTATATAAAAGAAGAATACTGTATATAGCACTAAGATTTTCAATGTCTTCCCTTTTTTAAATTACAACAAAAGACTGTTTCTAGAAATGTGTTTAATTAAAACTACACAAAACACCTTAAACAAAATGGTGTTATATACCTATACATATATATATATATATATATATATATATATATATATAATATATATATATATATATATATAAAGAATTGAATATATTAATAAAATATTGATAAAGCAGAAAGTTCTTACCGAGGTCAGTGACTACAACAGGCTCACATATCCTAAAAGAAAGCCTCAGATAAAGGACATAATGTTTCCAAGGCGAATTTTAGAATGACCAACATTTTTTCTCCTCAATATCTAAACTAATAAGTAATATATAGTATTTTATTATTTTCAGAAAAATTCTGGTGTGATAGACTTCAGGGAATATTTACTTGGAGTCCTAGGGATAGTCAAAGACAAAAAAGCTTTAGATGTGTTACAGATAGCTTGTAAGGTAAGTAAATAGTTTATCTAAACTATTTCACTTGTTAGTTAGATATCATTTTGAATTATTTAAAATGAAATTGGTTGTTGATGTGGAGGTGATGTACGTCTATGTATAGTTTCTTCTTTCTTTCTTCATTATCGCTCAACTCAATATTTCGATAAATGTTACTATAAAAGTATATTAATGGTTTCGCTAATGTATACTTAAATCAGTATTTTGCTTCATGTTTAAGTTTAAAATTCATGATATTCGTTAAATATTTTCGAGATCTTTTTTTTATTTATTTAAACAACTGCCATCAACTGCTAAGAGTTATAAGCGGGGGCATACACAACAGTGGATAAAGTATTCAATATGGTATATTTTGTTGTCTATAGAATCAAAAATTTATAATTTGTTATACACAGTTTACAAAAAGTATAAATTTTACAATTTAGTATACAATTTGTTTGCCTTGCATTGCCTTAAAAAATGAATAATATTTAAATAAAATTTTAAGATAGTTTTAAGAGAATTTAGTCAAGTGCAACTTTTTTCTTAAAGATATGCCCATGTGTAAGTAGAGTTTGTCCTATTCGGAGTGGGTTAATTGTGATTTGGTATTAGCTGTTATTTGGCATAACGAGTTTGGTTACTTTTTCTAAATATTCCTTCAATTCACCCACTGTGTTATACTGCCAGATCTTTTAAATATGTATTTTAAAGCTTCGTTTGTGACCATTTCAGGGTAATTGGTTCATTGAGAAAGCACTTTTATTAGTTGTAATAGATTCCACGGAATCAGCTTGTTCATTACCATTTACTCCCACATGTGAAGATACTTATATAAACGACACACTTATATCCTATGAGGTTAGGTTAAACAGTTCTTAATTCAGGCATTTGTTCAGTCGTGAACGGTGTTTCTTGGAACTGCTACGGCCAGTTATTCTTCTTCTTTCTCTTTATAAGCAATTCTGCTTGTTCACTGTAGATTGGTGACATCTCTTACTATTTTGACGACACGGGTTTCCCCCATTCTGCTTGTGTGCTTATTCCCTTCTTTTTTTATTTATTGTCCATTCATTTATAAATAAATGTAATATACATTACATTTTATTCTAATGTCTTTACTTTTCTGTCGATCTCTCGGCGTATTTCCTCTAATTCTTCTCAGTACTCCAATCTCTGCTGTTTTCAGTAGCCTTTGAGTTGTGGTTGTGTCGGGTGTTATTTCTGAGGTTTATATTATTATTGGTCTTACACTGGCTTTATAAATGCTTGACTTCATTTCAGTCTTAATGTGTCCATTTCGCCATATAGCGTTATTAAGGCATACTGCCAGTCTATTTGCTTTTTTTACTTGATGAGGCTTGCCAGCTCCGAACCGATCTATTTTGTAGCTAATCCTTTTCTGGCTTTTTTTTCTTATGTATTCTCCGATGACCTGGCGTATATACCAGTGTGAGACTGTTATGATCCGCCCGTTTATCGAGCTCTTCTTGGCATTCACACTCTAGCCTAGAGACTACCTTAGGGTTACTAAGAGCCTCCTTATCTTTTGCTAGTCTATATGTGCATATATTGATCCGCTGAAGTTCAAAAACACTTACAATTTCTCTTGCACAATGCAAGATTGCATAAATATTTTCATGAAGTAGAGAGATATATTCTCGTAGTGGAATAGAATGTTTATTATTCCATTACTGCTGCTTATTCGAAGGCGCGGCCCTTCAGCAGTTTGAGACCCATCTATGTACCAGGTGTAATTCTTTATCCAAGGTTTTGTGTTTACTCTGCGCCATCTCTCTCGTGAGCAGACGTATAAGTACTTTGGGCCTATATATGGGGGTATGGTCAGAAGCTAGAAGTCATGATGTTACTGCTTCCTGATTTTTATTCTGATTGTCATGATACTGAGCCTTATGTTACTCAGGTTCTCCAGAACAAATACTATCTCGATTTTCCAAAACGTACTTCATCCTCTTTGATAATAATAGAGTGTTGTTTTCGTTTGTATCGAGCAGTTTTTATAGAACCTTAAAAAATACTTTAGCTATTAGAATTTTTAGTTTTGTATGATATTTTTGTATGTTGATATTGTTTTTCACCAAGTCTTAAGTTTTATCAAACAATAATGGCGAAAGTTTATAACCCCGCCTTATTTCCTCTAATATACCTTTCATCACTTCTGAACGAAAAAACTTGATTCCAAAATAAAAAAACAGTTAGAGCAGTATTTCGTTAATGCGGAGTTCCTTTTTTCAAATTGTTAAAATTTTGACATACTGTACCATGTTCAAAATATTTTTGGATATTTATGCCATTTTGAAAATATCTATATAACGCAACATAATACATATATAATTGCAATATACGAGAAGCGAGTGACCTTGTATATTCATTTGTGTATTTTTATCTATTTTGTAATCCGTCTATATCATATTAGAGATAGATGTGTGTATTGGCCTAAATAAAGAATCTATTGAAACTGACTGGATGACTGACGCAGTATACTCCATAAAAAATATGATATATTTTTCTGTGTGAAGTCTAAAAAAATATTAATTAACATTTATTTAGGATTTATATGAAAATTCTTTTGAAAACCTATTATTTGTTGCAGATATATGATAAAAGCGGACACGGTCGACTAACTTGCGAAGACTTCTGCAAGGCAGCTTGTCAAACAATAGCCTTAAGTAAAGACTATGCTATGGAAGTATTTGAACAGGTGGATAGAAATCAACTTGGTTATATTACATATGGTAAGTTTCTTTCTCATGTTGTAACTGGCTGATTGACACCTAGTCTATGTCAATAAAAATATTACAGTAATGCATGTACATATGTGAAATTATTATTGAAACGTCAGAAATTTAATACTGTATTCTTGGCGGCTGGTTCAAAATAGTTGGAAGAGAGTAAATGTATACAATCAGTTTTAGCGTTGCTTCCTTTTCGACAGGAAAGATTGTTTTCACGTTTAGAGCATCTGTAAATAGTTGTTTCGAAGATTATTTTTATGGTGAAATATATATAAGTGAATATACAGAGAATATTTATGAGTACGAGAAAATAATTCGCCAAGGATTTTTGCTTAGTTGAGGAGATATGTTGTGTAGTGCAATTTTACATTCCCCATTTATCTATTTACATCTTTATCAACATCTGTTTTGCCTTGCAATTCTTAGAACGCACAGATTAAAGCAAAAAATCTGGATTTTGTATTCGTTAGTTAAAAATCTTCGGTATTCTAGTTTCGTGATTTATTATCAGAAGTCGCTATTGCGTCCATACCGAAGCCATTTTAGCGTTGCTTCTTTTTCTACCGAAAATATTGTTTTCACGTTCAGAGCATTAGTAAATAATCGATCCGAAGATTTCTTTTACGATGCAATACTGGTAGTCGGCATAAAGGCAGGGTTCACACGCATGGTTTCTCGTAAAAGTGTTTGTTTATCGCGAATTAGCGAATTTTATATGGTCGTTATTGAAGAAAAGACAAGTGGAGAAAATGTCTGCTTTCCACGCGAGTCAACATTCAAGAGAGAAAGAAAGAGAGAGAGGGAAATTATATTTTTTATTTTCTAACACATGTCTTTATTTCTTGAGGGTAGGATTAGAGTGGGAGTGAAAATTATTACTAAGAGTTGGATTCAGTAATGATTTTTAAAATTAAGGTTGAGAATATAGGATTTTATATAGCAAAAAATGTGAGGATACTCTAAAATATCTCTCCTGGGAAAGATTTGATGACCTTTGTCAGAGTAGCGGAGGTTTACCAAAAATGGTATGATGAATTTTCGAGATATGCTAAAGGAGGGAGAGACAGTTCTGTGATATTTCTGAGAGATCTGCTTCTGGTGGACTTATGTCGATTTTTCCTTTAAGTAAGGGTCCGGGAGTTAGCACTGAGAGATCATTTGGGCCATTTAAGAGATGAGTAATGCGTCTTGAGTTTAAAATGGCTTCGATTTGACAAATTATTGTATAAAAAACTTTAAAAGTAAAACGAAGGTTTCCTACAAGACCGTAAAAATGGTATTTGATTTGGACCGTTAATCCCTACCTCATGCAACCCAAATTGAGAAGAATTACAAGGCACTCAAAATTTAAAGCGAATATAGTATTTATATCAAAAATGAGTGATCCTTTAAACGAAGTTCTTACTTTTAAAGAGGTCGTTTAACTCAAGAATCTGATTGCCGGCACCATAGAGATTAGTAGCATTATCGGTCCATATAATTTCAGGAGCACTCCATCTGGCGATAAATATTTTAAGGGTGAGAATAAAGGCGTCAGCTGTTAAGCCGGTTACAATAAGTACACAGTTGGTGGTCATACATATGGAGAAGGCTATGTATGCTTCGTATAACGAGGTCTTTCTAAGATTTAAGGATCGGATTATAAAAAAACCTGCATAATCTACTGAGACTCCTTTTAAGAGTCTTGTCAAGAGAACACGATCGGAATGTAGATCTGCCATAAGTTGTGTTAAATTGGGTGTCGTGAAATGGAAATTTTTCACATATTTTTTACATATTTCGTGTATTATCTCCTTTGTTTGTAGTATTCCAGAGATGAGCCAATATTTCGAACTAAAATTTGACAATATGGTCAGTTCATCTGCATGTCCAAATTTACATGCAATTACTTTATCAATCATTTGATAAAAATTACTGGTGAATTAGTTATAACAAAAAGAGGTTAATCTTTGTAAATAGGTATATTTATTTAAAAAAACCCTTAAAAGGGCCACATCAATAAAACAAACGTTTTCGCACCACACAGTCCATCATCAGGTTTTAAAATCGAAAAATGCTAGGTCACAATGCCTGAGCCACCAAAATACTAGGGTAAAAACCCTTTAAATTACATTTAGTTACGAAAGATTGTACATTGTGTTGTAAAATAACTGTGATGTTCAGTATTAAATTAAATTTGACTAGAGGTAACACATGGCTCAATCGGTTTCCAGAGCCGGTGAGAGAGAACCTCTACACTCGGAGAACAGCTGGGAACTCAGTTTTTTCCTGAAAGTCTACTTACTATATCATTACATGTTGGTATAGCAAAATGTTCTCTACGAATAAAATTATTAAGTGGCTTGGGATCTATACATAACCTTAATTTATTTGAAGGTTTTTTCTCTACTATCAACAAATTGGTTACCCATTCAGTTGGATACTCTACTTTCTCAATAACTTTGTCTTCCTCCAAACTATCTAGTGTCTCCTTTAGTTTATTATGCATTGACAATTTTTCTACTATACTGAATAACTGGCTTAGCATCATCTGAGAGTTCAATATTACAATATCCTGGCATTCTACCTAACCCTTGAAATATCGTTTTAAACATTATCAAAATATCTTCTTTTTTAGTTGGCAAGGTGGTTTCTATGGCATTTACTCTTTTTATTAAGTAAAATTTAATACAATCGCTAAGGCCTAATATTGGTTCAGCATTAAAATCAACAATCAGAAACTTAAATTTACAGGAGCTATTTTTATACTGACATTCCAAAAAAATTTCACCTACTGGTTTAAATTTAAAATTACCATAAGCAACTAGGGTTGTTAATGTTTTATTAAGTAGCAACTTACTTGATAGAGAATCAAAAATGTAGAATGCTGATATCAGCACCTGAATCTGATTTAAATTTTACCTCTTTTCCAGTTACCATCAATGTTTCATACCATGAATTTTTACTCTTGGAATGACACTCATATACATATATCAAATTGTCTTTATTTTCTTCCTCCTGGACTGTATTAACAGTTCTTTCTCCTCTAGGTGGATCAGCGTTCTTCTTACTACTACCTTCACATGTTTCTTCACTTCTATTAGGACAAAGCTTTTGCCAAATGACCTTTAACTTGACAACTAGCACAAGTCTTGTTAAAAGCAGGACATCTGTTAGGAAAATGTTCATAACAGCACTTCTTACACAATATTTTTTCAATGGTTTGTACTGCTTGACAAAGTTAACATCTTCTTCTTTGGTAAGAACTTTAATATGCTCTTTGCTTAACTCAATACTCTTACAATATTCAAGGATTTTTTCAGTAGTAAGAGCCTGTTCTCTAAGGAGTCTGAGTTGACTTTCATTACATTTTAGCCCAATGATTAGCTGATCACGTATCATTCTATCTTCATAGGACTCACCACAGGTTGCTTTAGTGCATTTAAATTCGCATAATCTTGCTTGTTTCTTTAAGTCAGTCAGGTACTGGTCTATAGATTGTTCACTACCTTGAACAAGATTATGAAACTTAAAAGTTTCCATTGGAACTATCTTTTTTGTCAAAAAATAATCATCAAACGCACCTATTAATTTATCGAGAGTAGCCTGTTGGTCTTCTGTAAGTGTATTATAAATATCAACACCCTCATCTCCTATGAAATTTAAAAGATTTGCAATTTTCACTTCTTCTGTTGAAGCACTCTTCCCACTTGCGGTAAGGTAAATTCTAAACTTCTGTTTCCATAAAAGCCAATAACTAGCTGGACTTTGATGCTCAAATAATGGACTAGGCGGTTTAAATTCCATTATTATTGTTAAAATCTCTAACAACCAGAAAATCTTTGGATTGGCGGGCTTCTAACCTTACTCTTTCCTAGTGATTTCAAACTTAATTAACACTTCTACGTACTCAAAATTCGGGCAAACTAGCAGCCTTCACACCTGACACCATGTTTTGATTCCTTTGGTCATATATATATTAAACAAGAGGTTCATACATAATCTTTATTATAGCAATCAAGAAGCTACACTACAAGTTACAAGTTACATGACATGACCCTGGTCGGAATGGCGGTACCGGATGATCTCTGTCTGTCATCGGTCTTCTTCTTTTTTGCCTTTAACATAATATATTACACTGACTGATTAGAGGGTAGTAACAAAGGATATTTCTGTTCGTATGAAATTGGGGTAAATTCTAATTCACCACCTACATAAAAAAGTCAATTTTTTCAAATAGGAAGTGGTGTAGTGCCCTGATAGTTTTATCTGAGATCAGTTTGTCATGTTCCAACTTATGAAATTTTTTAGAAAAGGCTTTTGATTGTATATATTTAATAATCACAGTGGTGAAGGAGTTTATTTCACAAACCTGTAGTGGTTCTAATTCTAAGGTTGTATTAGTAGAAAAAGAGAAAACCTAAAAACATGCCCGAGTTCTCTGAATTTTTGAGAATGACGAAAATTTATTAAAAAGGTATCATTAGTTTGATATATGTCAGAGGTTATACTTATAGTGATTTTAGTGTGTACCATTCCAATCCCGTCCATTCTTTTATCCTGAACTGAAAGTAATCTATTGTACTGGAAATGACGAAGGGGTCACCTTCGATACACAATTTTCTTAACCTTTGGCTGAGTGATATCTAAGGATCTAGAGGGCAAATATTACTGGTTTATGCACTCGCGAACTGTTAGTCGGGATATAGACAGGGTTCACACGCGTGGTTTCTCGTACGAGTTTGTTTATCATAAATTAGCAGTTTTTATCACATATCATATAGTACTGTTTCTGTTAACGTTTAGTTATTACCATTAGATGTAAAGAGCACGTCTGTTGTACACGCGAGTCAACATCCGAGAGGGAGATTTTATTTTTCATTGTCTTAGATATGTCCGTATTTCTTGAGGGTGGGGTTAGAGTGAGAGTAGGAATTATTAGAAGGGTTGGATTCAGTAAAATGATTTTTAATGTTGCGAATAATATAACATTCTTTTTCGCATGTGAAAAATTAAACAAAATTTTAAATTAAAACTGAACTTTCGTTCAATG